GTCTAGATTTGCCCTTTGGAAGGGCTGGAGGCTGGGGGCGCTCGGTTAACCCCGGAGAGAAGCAGATTCAACTGGAATAGCTCAGCTGGAATAGCTCAGCTGGCCAGCCCTGGGCGCTCAGCCCAGCCCAGCCTGGGATTTTGTGCTGCTCTGGCTGCGAGGCAGCTTTGGACATGACCCCCAGGCTCCAGCGCGGCCCGATGAGCATCAGCAGAGAGTTCTGCTGCTCCCATCATGGCCCGGCCTGGGCTGGGACTGTCACCTGCAGGAGAGGGGAAGGGTGGGCAGCAAGTCCATCAGCTCTCCAGTCTGCTGCTCCTCAGCCTGGCTCATGCCCTGGGAGCAGCCCCTGGCCGTATTCTCTGGTGCCTGCAGAGAACATTCACTCGGTTGTAGAAACTTGGTGGTGGTGGTGTCTTCTTGGATGTGGCACTTGTCTTACGCAAGGTTTCCCAGAGATGCTTTCCTCTTCTCATTTGGCTGGGAAGGAAAGGGAAGAAGAAAATTCAAGTTACCCGAGGGGCGCAGAAATAGGTAGAAAATTGAGAAACAGCTTTTTGTGTCTCTCCTCATGCCACAACTTTGCAGCTGACCATCAGGCCTGGGGTGGAGAACAGATGAGTTAGCAGATAATCCCTTCCTGCATTTAAAAAACCAAACCACAACAAAAAACACCCAAACAGGCAAATCCTTGTAACTGTAGTGAAATATCTGACTGCAAAAAGGAACCAGCCACATGCTCCTGCCCTGTGCCAGGGCTCTGCTGTGCTGCCGTGGGACTGAGTTGAGCCACAGGGCTCTGCTCCGTGTCTGCGCGGGGGCCTCTGGAGATGGATTTGTTCTTCGTGTCTCAGCTTGGGCTCATTGCCTGGAGCTCGGCACAGTTTTCCTGCTCCAGGGGCTTCTGGAATGTGCGCGCATGTGTATTCACGTCATCTGTTCACACACGGGCTCTTTCCCATGGTCTAGGGGAGATGCTCCCCTCGAGTGCCCCCCGCTTGTTTTGCCGGGTGCACTAAAGCGTGAGGCGGCGTTAGCATCTCTCCGGCTCCTGGCACGCGTCCACTTCACAAATAGCCACTGTTGTTTCAGGACGTGGCTGCGTTAGCGACCTGTGGCTGGGAGTTCCTGTTCCCAAGGCTCTGCTGGCAGGGTGACTGCAAACACTGCTGTGTCACCTTCAGGGAACAGAAGTGGGGTTAGCTTGAAAGAATGGAAAACGCTGATTTTTAAATAGCCAGCCTGGCAGGATCTGCCATGGGAGTGTGTCCTTAATCCCAGCCCAGACAGGAGGTAGAACTCCCTCTGTTCTCTGGCGTAAGTGAAAACTTTCAAGCCGTCAAAACCCCGTTGAAGAGTCACACTTATGTATTATTTATGTGTTGGTTCAGGGTAAGAGTTGTTACCGTATGATTAAAAAAATCCTCCCAGGGCCCTTGGCAGTTGGCACGTGTTGCCGGAACTGTGCATCAGAGGATGTGCTGGGTTGTGTCATCCTTCCTCAAGCGACCGGGCCGGGATGTGGATCTGCAGGTACACGTAAAGCTGAATCGCTCCGTGCTCTGGGTTTTGCCGCGACGGTCCCTGGAGCTGCCGATACAGCCCTTCCCGAAGGATTCCGCGCAGATAATCC